AATCAATTAGCGGTATTTTGGATGGAAACCGTCCAAAAGGACCTCACTTGCATCGTTTCAAAAGTTTAGGGGTGACGGCTGCAACAAATCAAATGTTTGAAGTAAATATGTCAGTGTTTTAAAGGCTTGAGACTTTTGATTCAATTATCCGTACATTTTATCGTCATTTCGTGTCAAGTGTGTGATCACCTTTGATAAAGCAACGACGTTGTCTAGTACCCTAAACATAATTACTACATAGAATTATCTCGCAACTTATTTTCTTGATTGTAATAATATATTATTAATTTAATAAGTCAAGTTTCAAATAATTTTTGCACTGAAAATAAAAAGGGGTTCGATCGATGTACGTTAAAGCTTGACACTAAATGGAGTGTAATTATAAATTTTTGAAACCACATAAGATAAGACAACGTAAGATCATTACTAGTTGCGTAATGAGAAGGAAATCTAAGATTGATTGACAACGAAATAATTGCTATTGGCAATTAGGATTAATTAATTAATTTCAGTTTTAACTTATCAATAAGATAGTTTGTCAAAATTGTAAAATAATATATTACACGTACGAAAATGACCACTAATAAAGTTATTAAATTATTAAATAACGTTCTAGTGTCTATTTTTTTTTCAACTATACAAGTACAAGAACGCCTAATACTTGCTAAGAGTAGAGATTATGACATCAACTTTAGTAACAAGTGCGACCACCTACCACCATGAAAACTAACAATAGTTTACATTATTTAATTATATGATACTCTTAACAATTGATTGTGCATTCCAAATAGGTNNNAATTGATTGTGCATTCCAAATAGGTAATCAACTTCGAGATAAAAGTGTGTCGAGGGTCCATAATGAGAAGAGAATCGACGACATAATCAAAAGTCTGGGCTCATTATTTCAAAACTATTTAATTATCTTACTCATTTTCAATCACATATATACATAATAAAATATTTTGCATGTAAATTAAAAAATTTACCTTAATTTTTAACCACAAATTCTCCAAAAATTCAATATTCAAAACTTTATTTACTCAAAATAATGGCCATCAAACAAGGGCAACTCATTCTCAAATTTGAATTCTCTACATAAATTGTATTGATTCAGTAAAGGACATGATTTAGGATTGGGCGTGAATAGAGGTGTCAAGACGGCTGGGCCGTCAGACCTGTGAAAATCGAGACCGCGGGCCGATCTGTGACCCGTGTGGGAGGTTCACGGGCCAAAGAGGTGTAACCCGCGGGTATCGCCCCACCGGGCCGGGATTAACCCGCGACCCGTAAAAAAAAACCAAATATTAATAATGGTAACAAAG